GGGACTGGGAGTCAACCTTGGAACCACTCTCATTCGGGAACCGATATGTTAGCATGGAAAGATTAACAGCCTGTTGCCCAAACAGTGGAGTCCCACCCCACCTCCTACTTCCTCATGCCTGTAGTCCCTGCTTCCCCATGCAATCCTTGTCCAATCTGTACAAGCAGCTGGCTTATGGGAGGCTGCAGAGCAGATTTTTGTGGATGACCTGCTGCTCTCCCATACTGCCAGCAGTACTGGAATAAACACTCATATATGTTTTAAAAAAAAAAGATGTGGTGGCAGCCTGGGCCAAACCAGTCCCTGGGCCAGGCTCGGACCAACACTGGGCCCTCGAGCCTTCCCATGCACACACATTAAACAGGCCAGGGAGATCCTGAGAGTACACCAGGTCCCTCCCCAGGGATCCTAGCTCAGCCTCCGCATCTCAGTGAGTCACCCCCACTCCAGTGAGTCAGGCACACACCTAGCATCACCTCCCCTGCCTCCCACTCCACACCCAGAGTAGGGCCAGCCTGGCTCATTTCACTGCCACCTGGGCAAGCCTGTCTCATCTCATCCCACTGCCACCGGCCCCTCAGGGTCTCCTTACCACCCCCAGCACCAACCCCCCCAGCAACTCAAAGGCAAACTTAAATGGCAGCCTCAGACTTAGAAACAAAGTGGACAGGCAGATGCCAGGGCTGGGGGAGGGGGAATTTGGGTTAGTGTTTAATGGGTGCAATTTCCGTTTGGGGTGATGAAAACGTTCTGGAGATGGTGGTGATGATTGCACAATGTGAATGTATTTAATGCCAACAACCTGTATACTTAAAAATGATAAAAAATGCCCTAGCTGGTTTGTCTCAGTGGATAGAGCGTTGGCCTGTGGACTGAAGGGTCCTGGGTGCGATTCCAGTCAAGGGCACATATCTCGGTTGCAGGCTCAGTCCCCAGTAGGGGGCATGCAGAAGGCAGCCGATCAATGATTCTCTCTCATCATTGATGTTTCTCTCTTTCTCTCCCCCCCCCTTCCTCTCTGAAATCAATAAAAATATATATATTTTTAAAAATGATAAAAAATGGTGATTGTTACATGTATTTTACCACAATTAAAAAAAAAAAAAAAAAGATACTCCAGCCACTGCCTCTACACTTCAAATAACATCAGAACTCTCCCTGCAGCTGCAGGGCCCAGCCCCAGCCCCAGTGGCCACTAGTTCTGTTCCTCCAACACACTAAGCCTGTGCGTTGTGGGGCAGCTCCCTTTGCCTGAGTGCTCTTTCTTCCCAGCCGTGCTGGCCCCTGTCATCTCTGGTGTCACCTGGCTGGCCACCATCTCAACCAGTCCCTCCTCGGTTCTCCACCCAGAGAGCGGACAGGTCTGAGGAAGGCTCCCACGGTTGGCTAGGCCAGGCCAAGTGCTGGCCCGATGCTCACCAGCTCTGGGACTCAGTGCCCCAGATGACAAACAGGACAGCCCTTTGGATTTTTGGCGGGCGAACGGAGCAAGTGAATACCCATAATCACGAATGAGGCCCAGTACCAGGAAAGTGCCGACAACCGCTGCTCAGCTGCTAACCTGTTAGTCGAGCTCATCCGCCCTCTCCCAAGGACCTTTGCCAGGGAGAGGAGACTCGGAAGGTGGGTCCAGTTGGACCCTGTGTCCTGCAGGGCACAGGACTGGTCACCACAAACTGCCCACCAACAGCAGACAGCGTTACCTACAGCTGTACAGACACCAGAGTACAGGATGGCTCCTGGAGCCCTCTTGGGAGTTGGGTTGTTCAGAAAAGATTCCAAAAGATTCAGAGCCTGGATGACCTTGGGGGCTCATGAAGGTGGGATGAGGGCTGGTCCAGTCAGGCAGGCCAGGGAGCAGTGGCCACGGTCAGCTCAGGGGTCCTCCAACCACTGCCTCCTGAAATCAGAGCTGGGCAACCTGGGGTCCGGAGGCCAGTGTGGATCCCTCTGAGGGTGAGAGAGGAGTGCTGGGTGATGTGCAGAGAGCGAGACCACAGGACACCCACACACCTACCTCCCAAACCTCTGCAGTGCCCCCTTGAGAGCACAAATTAAGACATTCCCTGCCCATATTCTTAATGTCTCTAAGACCAATGCTCTCCTGTTTAAAATTCCAAGATGTACCCTTTCCCTCAGCCCCACAGCAGGTAACTTCTGAGGGTGTCCCCACTCACTGTCCCCCAGCCTCTTCCTGCCAGTTTTCAGCTTTTCAACCTATAGCCTGAGGCTTCCCCTCCGCCCTCCATTCATTTCCAAATGACACCCCTGCCTGCAAGTCTGCAGGCCTCACACACCTTCTAACAGACCCCCTGACGCCTCCTTGCAAGGCTGGGCTGAGCTGGAGTCCACCCACTCCCAATCCTAAGCCACAACCCCAACCCCCAGCCCCAGGAGGGCCACCAGGGTGAGAGTGGAAACAGCAAGAAGCCTGCTTTGAAGCAAAACTCAGAGACCAGGCAAGTCCCTTTGGGGAAGATGGTTTATCCAAGCCAGTCGCCTCCAGGGCTAAGGTCATTCACCTGGGGCAGGGTTCCCATTCACTCCTCGGAGACCAGCTCCTCAGCAGCCCAGTATTGTCAGTGTCCGGGTGAGGCTGGGTGTCCTTTCCAGCTGCGGTCCCAGGTCACTGCCTGGCCTCCTCGGCCTGCCACACCAACTCTCCTGAGATGTAGGTGGCCTGAACGTGGAGGGAGTCGTCGAGCACCACGAAGTCTGGGTCAAAGGTGGACTGTGAGCAGGAGGCAGGGGTGGGGCTGCCCCTCCTACCCCAGCCCAAGGCAGGTGGGAAAGCCAAAGCCTGGGGCACAACTTGTGCAGGAGAGGATGCCCTGACCCAGCACAGACTGACTGAGGCCCTGGAACGAGACTCTGGCAGTGGGAGGAAGAAATAAGGGTCCAGGAGCCCCCTGCCCAACCTAGTCTCAGATGTCAGAAGCCTGGCCTGCTGGGGGAGTGGGGCCAGACCGAGGCTGGTTGCTGGGTGAGGCTGCCTGGACGTTGGGGAGAGTCCACCCTTCTGCCCACCCTGTCCCTGACCCAGGCCTCCCAAGAACTCCTGAATCTTCAGGCTGCCCGGGCCACCCGACCTTGGACCCTGACCTGCATCAGCTCCAAAGTCCAGGGTTCCCTTGAGCTTCTCCAGTCCCAGTAGCTGGGCGGGGTGCAGTGACGCAGCCTCCAGGGCCGACTCCACACTGCAGCCTGCTCATGAGACACAGCTGGGTGACCATCCTCCCCCGCCCCCACAGCCCTGGAGCTCCAAGTCCTAGGGATGGGGGGTGGTGGGGGGGAAGGACATGTCCCAGGACTCTGCAGCAGGTCGACAAGACCCCCCAGTCTCATCCCTCGCAGCCATTCACCCATCCCAACCCTGTGGGGACCCTCCTTCTGGGTCCCAGGGGGAGCACCCCCACAAGAAAGCAGTACCCTGGGCATCTATGAGGCCACCTAGGGCTTGGTGCTCTGCCCCTACCAAGAAGTCAAATAACCAAACCCAATTTCCTCCGCCTCCTGCATCACTCCCAGGCCAGGCCACAGCTGTCTCCTGCCTCCCAGCCTGTCTCCTTGCTGCTCTAAACAGCATCTTGGACCCTGGTGACCCTCAGCTCCCAGATGACACCCTAACCGGGTGCTGCAAAGAGCCCCATGGGGCCTGGCCAACCACAACCTCTGCCAGATAACCCCGACCCACCTCCCCTAGAACATACAGCCTGACCCCGGAGCCTGGATTGCTGCCCTGGCCCCCTCCACCTCATCACAGCTCTGTACCTGCTAAGTCCTGCAATCCCACAGGCCCCGAACCAATGCCCTGCTCTCATGTGGGGCAAAGTCTTGGGTGCCCTGGCTTGGGTGCCTGTCACCCTGGGTTCCAGCTCTTTGCTTGCTTGTCCTCCTCTCCCCCTCCCTATGGGTGGGACCTTACCAACTTACTAATGCCCATCCCTGAGGAACCCACTAGACATGACAGACAAGGGATGTCCAGCTTCTCTGAGATGCAACCTCCACCCCCAACATGCACACACACACACACCAGCCTCGCTGACCTGTGGCCTGCAGGAAATGCCGAATGCAGACGTCCATCGGAGCTATGCTGCCGCTCAGTGTCTTGGTGCCTTGAGAGCAGAGAGGGCAGGCTCTGGGGGGTGGAGGGCAGGGGCCACCAGGCACACTGGATGGGGTGTGGGTTGGCTGGGGACACCTAGGTTCTTGCATCCCACCAGAGGGGCTAAGGGGCTCTTCTAATGTGGGCAGCCAGTGGGGACAATGGTCACTCACCTGCCACATAGGCCGTCAGCCCATCCACTTCCACCTCCTGCTGCCCTAGCGTGTGTCGGCCATTGCCCAAGCCCAGGGCAGGGACAGCGTCGGTGACTAACACCAGCCCTGGGGATGAAGAGGCCTCAAGACCTGCCCCACATGGTCCTCCTACCTGCCCCCTCCCTGCCCAGGCGCTCACCCTGGGGATGGGCCCGGTGGGCGATGCGCAGGGCTGCGGGGTTGGTGTGTATGCCATCGGAGATCATTCCATAGAAGATGTGGCGGCCGGGGGGCAGCCGGTCACTCGTCAGGAGCCCCACGATGCCAGGGTCCCGGTGGTGGAACTGGGCAGGGCCGGGATGGAGAAGCTGAGCGACAGCAGGAGCCCCCAGCCCACCCACCGGGAGCTGGGGCAGCACTCACAGGCAGCATGGCGTTGAAGAGGTGGGTGATGAAGGTAGCCCCGCTCTGCACGGCTTCCTCGGCAACCTGCAGGTCAGCCACGGAGTGCCCTGCACAGGCACCTGCACTCAGGTTCTGCCACCCGCCCAGGAGCCCCGGGCTGCCTTCCCCCTCGGGTGGGGACAGACCCCCTCACCTAGGGACACACAGATGCCACGCGCCGTCAGTGCCCGGATCACCTCATGGCTACTGCCCAACTCAGGCGCCAGCGTCACAATGCGAACGTTGTCCAGGGACCCGTAGGTGGCCAGAACATCGTGGAAGGCATTGGCCTCAAAAGAGCGCAGGTAGGCCTCGGGGTGTGCACCCCGCTTCTCCCGGCTGATAAACGGGCCCTCCAGGTGCACACCTGGTAGGAGGGAGTGGATGGCTCCAGCAGGCCTCTCACCCTGCAGCCCCTGCCCCTCTCACCTGCCCACCCTCCCACCCCATTTGGGCATCTGGAAGAGTAGGGGCTGCCAACAGGTCCCATAGGAACCTCCCAGGGTGGGGGCGAGGAGAGGGGTCAGCCACTCACCGAGGACCCCTGCCCCATGGGGACCACCACTCTTCACAGGGATCTGAGGAAGGACCTGGGGGGAACCAGCTGTTAAAGCCCTGCCCCCAGTGGCCCAGCACCAACGTTACAGCCCAGCCAAGGTCACAGTTCGGAGCCTAGTCTAGTGCTCACTGGCCTTCCCTCAGGTATTAGAAGATGGTCAAAGGCCCCCAACCATGGTCAGGGAAAGCATGGTGCTCAGAACCAGCAGGGCAGTCAGCAGCACCAAGAATGACAGGCCTGGGATGTAAGACTGGCCTGCCTATGAGGACCAGGAGGCGAGGAGACCCCCAGGCAAGGGTCAGGTGCATGCTCCTCAAGATGGCCCAAGTCCAGGCAGCATGCCCCAAGGGTTTGGACCCAGACAGGGTGATGGGCCTGGCCTCCCTGAAGGCCAGAGGCAGAAGGAGTATGTGCAATCCAGGCAGAGCAAGGGGCAAAAGCAGGGTTTCAGGCACTGACAGAACGGCCATACTGTGCCTAGAGCTGGACACAGTCGTGAGGGTCACTTGTGTGTGACAGGTGCTCACACAATGTAGTGATCCTGGAGGTGGGTGGGCAGGCAGGCGTCCCAGCCCACATCTCCCTCCTTCAAGGTGGGGAAGGAGCCCACAGAATACTGTCAAGTCCCTGGGTGAGCCTGGGACAGAGTACAGAGGTATTTAAGAGCCTTAAACCTGGTGTGACAGAGAGGACAGGAGAAGGGTAGGCTAACCCTGCTTGGAGCCCAACAAGTGGATGCGGGGCAGATGTGGGCAGCCATGCACTGTGGGGGAAGGAAGGAAACAAGGCCCCAAAGCCCCCATGGGCTCAGGCCGGCAACAACTGGTGCCTTGAGAAGTGAGGGGACAAACAGCAGGAGCCTCGTTAAAGAGCAGCTGGATCTCCGAGTACGCCCTGCCAAGAGCCTAGAGAAGTAAACCGCACAAGTGGGTAGAAGCAGAAAATGGGGCAATTAAAATGAAATGTATGGTTTTGGAGAGAGGGAGGGAGAGAGAATGAGAAAAACATTGATTTGTTGTTCCACTTATTTAGACATTCATTGGTTGATTCTTTTTTTTTTTTTAATATATTTTATTGATTTTTCACAGAGAGGAAGGGAGAGAGATAGAGAGTTAGAAACATCAATGAGAGAGAAACATCGATCAGCTGCCTCCTGCACATCTCCCACTGGGGACGTGCCCGCAACCCAGGTACATGCCCTTGGCCGGAATTGAACCCGGGACCCTTCAGTCCGCAGGCCGACGCTCTATCCACTGAGCCAAACCAGTTTCGGCTGGTTGATTCTTGTATGTGCCCTGACCAGGGATTGAACCTGCAACCTTGACACATTGGGACAATGCTCTAACCAACTGCAACCTTGACACATTGGGACAATGCTCTAACCAACTGAGCTACCTGGCCAGGGCCTGAAGTTTTTATACATATATATATACATACATACATATACATACCCCCAAAGATATTTTTCCTTTGATTTTTAGAGAGTGGAAGGGAGGGGGAGAGACAGAGAAATATCAATGTGAGAGAGACACATTGATTGGTTGCCTCCCGAATGCACCCCAACCAGGGCCAGGGATCAAGCCTGCAACCAAAGTACGCGTGCCTTGCCCAGAATCGAATTTGGGACCCTTCGGTCTGCGGGCTGATGCTTTACCCACTGAACCAAACCGGCTAGGGCTGAAGTGTATATTTTATTGATTTCAGAGAGGAAGGGAAAGGGAGAGATAGAAACATCAATGATGCGAGAAACACATTGATCAGCTGCCTCCTGCATGCCCCACACCAGGGATCGAGCCCGCGACCCAGGCATGTGCCCCTGACTGGAATCAAACCCGGGACCCTTCAGTCCATAGGCCGACGCTCTATCCACTGAGCCAAACCAGCTAGGGCTGAAGTTTATATTTTTAATGCTCCCTGAATGTCACCAGTCAGGATTGTTCCCTGTGAACAGAACAAGACTCTTCTCTGGGGATTTGACCAGCTCAGGAGGAAGGACTCAGGGATCTCAACCTAAGGGTGCTCTCAGGAACACCCCCTGGTGCTCCTGGTGGCTAGCTGAGAACTGCTCTCAATCAGAATAGATGACCAAGGCCTACCAGCTTGAGAAAGCCTCTGAAAGGACACACCTGGTTGGGAGCAAAAACCCAAGGAAAGGAGAACAAGTAAGAGAGGTCTCGTACCCATGAAATAAGAATGGGATGTGAGCTCTGGCTGGTGTGTCTCAGTTTGTTGGAGCGTCCTGCAATGCACCAGGCAGTTGCTGGTTCAATTCCTGGTCAGGGCACATGCCTGGGTTGTGGGCTCAATCCCCAGTAGAGAGTGTGTAAGAGGCAGGCAATCAATGTTATGCTCTCACAATGATGTTTCTCTCTTCGCCCTTCCTCTCTCTAAAAATCAATAAACTGCCCTAGCCAGCTTGGCTCAGTGGATAAAGCATCAGCCTGCGGACTGAAGGGTCCCAGGTTCTATTCCAGACAAGGGCACATGCCTGGGTTGCAGGCTTGATCTCCAGTAGGGGGCGTGCAGGAGGCAGCTGATCAATGATTCTCATCATTGATGTTTCTATCTCTCTCTCCTTCTCCCTTCCTCTCTGAAATCAATAAAGATTTTTTTAAAAAGCCTTTATATTAATAAATAAATAAATAAAAATCAATAAACTATTCTTAAAACAAAACAAACAATAACAACAATAACAAAAAGAATGGGATGTTAGAAAAAAAGAACATTACGGGGGGAAAGCAAGCACTTGCACATTAAAGTGCCAAAAATATATAATAAATGTCACTATATAATGGAACCAGAGCTACCATGCCAGAGGAACTCCCTTGCACATCTTATACCTTACATTTTTGAAATGTTAAAACAGGGCAAAATAAACCATCTGGACTGGGCTTAAGTAACATTGTATCCCAAAGAACTGTTTGCAAAGATAACAAGAAAGCAGTTATTATGACTACTGCACTGAAAATTAAAAAGATTCTTTAGAATTAACATCACTATTTCCCTGGCCGGTGTGACTCAATGGTTGGAGCGTTGTCCCATACACTAAAAGGTGACAAGTTCGATTCCCGATCAAGGCACATACCCAAGTTGTGGGGTCAATCCCATCAGGAGGCAACCAATGGATGTTTCTCTCTCACATCAATGTCTCTCTCCTCTCACTCTCTCTAAAAATAATAACATATTATTTAATATTATTATTTAATTATAAAAGCATTAACATCAACTGTTATATTATACACACCAATAAAAATGCCTTCCTTCAATTGATGTAACTGTTCCACTTCCCCTTCTCATTCATATAAATACCCATTGCTTTTGTCTCCAAATCAGAACATTACTTGGACTGCTGCCTAAATCAGTGCTTCCCAAATAGCTATTCCTTGATCTCAAATAAATCCTTTGCCTCTCACTTTATTTATTTTAAAATTTTTTATTTATTGATTTTTAGAGAGAGGAAGGGAGAAACATTGATTTGCTGCTCCACTTATTTATGCATTCATTGGTTGATTCTTTTTTTAAAAAAAAAAATATATATATATATATTTATTTATTTCAGATAGGAAGGGAAAGGGAGAGATAGAAACATCAATGATGAGAGAGAATTATTAATTGGCTGCCTCCTACACACCCCTTACTGGGGATTGAGCCTGGACACGTGCCCTGACCAGAGAACAAACCCACAACCCTTAGGTGCACGGGACAATGCCCAAAACACTGAGCTACACTGGCCAGGGCCTTGGTTGATTCTTGTACATGCCCTGAATTGAACCCACCACAACCTTGGTGTATCAGGATGGCGCTTTAACCAACTGAGCTATATTGGCCAGGGCTGCCTCTCACTTTAAAAGGCCTTTTTATTTTTAGGTTAACAAAAATATGCACTAAAGCAAAAAAAAAGAAAAATAAGAGAAGAACTGGAAGATAAAAAAAGCTAAGAGAATGTTCAGAAAACAGTCAACGAGGAAGAAAGGAGAGAATAAAAGGAGAGTCGCCATCCAGGAGGCCCAACAGCACAATAACTTCCAGAAGGAAAAGACAAAGAAATGATGGAGAAAAATCATCAAAGAAATAATTCAAGAATAGCAAAAAAACAAAACAAAAAAACCCACAACAAACGAACAAACAAAAAACCCAAAACAGGACTTCCAGACTGTCAGGGCCCAACAAAAGCCAGCAAAGTAGAAGAGCTCCCCCCAGTCCCCAAAATGTCACCCTGAGACTTTATTTTTTATTTATTTTTAAAAATATATTTTTATTGATTTTAGAGAGGAAGGAAGAGGGATAGAGAGATAGAAACATCAATGATGAGAGAGAATCATTGATCGGCTGCCTCCTGCATGTCCCCTATTGGGGATCCAGCCCATAACCCAGGCATGTGCCCTTTCCCAGAATCAAACCTGGGACCCTTCAGTCCACAGACCAACGCTCTATCCACTGAGCCAAAGTGGCTCGGGCGTCACCCTGAGACTTTAGAACCCAGGAACAAAGGGAAGATCCCACAAGTTTCCAGAGGGAAGAAACAGGTCACACACAAAGGATCCGGGGTCAGATGGTTTCCAAGTTTTCATTAGCTACTCTGGAAGTTAAATGCCTTTAAAATTCTAGAGAAAAATGACTCCTCAATTAGAATTCTAACCTAGCCAAACCATCAGTCCAGAGACAACGTTTTTGGACTATCGAGATCTCAAAACCTTTACATCTTACGACCCCTCTCTCCGAAAGTCACTGGAGGATGTGCTCCACCAAACAAAGGTGTAAACCAGCAGAGAGGAAGACACAGGATACAGAAAGATCCAGCAGAAAGAGGCCAGAGGACCCCCTCCAAGTGAGGGTAAGGGGACTCCCAGGACAGCTTGGCCAGGTAAGGCCAGCAGCCAGTGCTGGAAAAGTAGGTCCCAAGGCTTCCACAAGACGACGAAACAGATGGAATCCTTGGTCTGTCTAAATATCCCAAAAGAGGAAAGAGACAACTGGCAGAAAGCCTGGAATTAAGTCAGCAGATAAAAAACTATGCAGCCCTGGCCGGTGTGGCTCAGTTGATTGGAGCATCATCCCCTACACCAAAAGGTTGCTGGTTTGATCCCCGTCAGGGCACAGGCCTGGGGTTCGGCCGTGCAGGAGGTAGTTGATTGATGCTCCGTTGTCACACTGATGTTTCTCTTTCTCCCTTTCCTTTCCTCTCTCTCTAAAAATCAATTTAAAAAAATATTTTTTAAAATGTAGCCCTGGCTGGTGTTTCTCAGTGGTTAGTGTCAGCCCCGAGCACCAAAGGGTCTCGGGTTGGATTCCCAGTCAAGGGCACATACCTGGATTGCAGGCTCGTTCCCAGCCCTGGTCAGCATGCAGGATGCAGGAGGCACCCAATCGATATGTCTCTCACACTGATGTTTCTCTTTCTCTCTGCCCCGCCCCCTTCCCTTGCTCTCTCCCTTCCACTCTATCTAAAAGCAATGGAAAATCCTCAGGTGAGGACTTTTTTTAAATGTAAATGAGCTACAAGTCCTCTTTACACAGTCCCAGTGACTAATCTAACAAAAATTGCAAGAAACTATTTGGGGAGGATAAGAAGCGAAAGAGCTAAAAGAGGCCAAAGAGAGCCAATCATCTTTCCTGATGGGAAGCCAATAATACTGCTCTAAACTGAAAAGTCAAGCAGGAGGACCAGCATAGTTTTTAGAGATACAAGGGTAAATTCCAAAGGGTCAACTGAGTTAAAAGTGACTGTCCCATTAAAAAATATATAAAAAATAAAGAAAGTGACTGTCCCTCAGTGAGAAGTGTGGGGGCAAAGGGCTACTATTTTTCCCAATAAGCCATGTAAGTTATAACATATACAAGTTCATTAAAGATGAAAGAAAAGACAATGGATGAGTTTTTCCAGAACAGAGTTTTAAGAGGGAAAGCGAGAGAGCATTAAGTAGAGAGAACAGAATAAAAAACAGTCTAGAGGTGAAGGGAATGAGGCACCTACAAGGGAGGAAAAAGTGGGAGAGGTCAAAGTGTAGAAGATGTGGGGGCCATAGGCCATGGCCTGGCTGCCCCCTGAGGAGGTACCTGATCTTGCCTCAGAGAAGCAGAGAACAGTGCAAGCCAACCTTCCTCCTGGAAGGACAGAAAAGGGCAAGACTGGAGGACACCCCCAGAAAAAGAGCAGGTGGTCTCAATGGACCAGAGCATGATGACAAAACCTGGGTAACTCTGACAAAGAGGCAATCTAGTTCTGCTCAGTATGAATGGGCCATGGAATAAGGTGGGGGTGGATGGGAGTAGGGGTAGGGGTAGGGGAGACAGCCAAATGAGCAGTCCTGTAGTTTCTAAGATGATACCTGTGTTAAAATTTTTATGTTCAAAGCCCTCAACAATTTCCACTATAAATCAGTTTATTCTCTGCTTCCCAAGGTCTTTATCCTGTAAGTGTTGAAGGGGGTTGGTGAGTGCTGGGAAGAAAATAAGAGTCCTCTGGCCAGAAGGTCCTTCTCCTAAGGAAAAAGATCTCAGTTTGTATCATGATGGGCCAATGTACTGCACAGGTAGGTGGGGAAGGATGTGAACCAGCTGGTGCAGCAGACATAGAAAGGCAGGGGGCTGGGGGTGAGGGGTGGGGGTGGGCAGGAGAGCAACCGCCTGGAATCGCTGGAATGTGCCTGGGCAGAGCCAATGCTTGGCAGGTAGGGAGAGAATGTTTGGGAAGGTGGTGTTTATCCTGCAGATAAGAGCAGAGGAGGAGTGTGAGTACTGTGCTGAGCCCTGTACACTCTTCAGGAGACTAGGATAATAGTTACTAAGCCTCACTGGTGGGGCCTGGGAAGGGGGAAGACAAAGAACAAAGAAGTAGGAGGGAGAGCATGTTCCAGGATTTCAGGTTCGGTAAATTATAGGATGATGACCAGGAGAGAAAGCACGGAATCAGGTGCGAGTCTGTGGCAGGAAGATGAGTTTGGTTTTTAACACCTGACTCTGTGATGGGAGAGCTGTGATCAATTTCCAGAACGATGCCCATAGCTGACATTTAGCTAGTGCTTAATATGCACCAAGCACAGTGCTGAGCACCCAACAACTCTAAAAGATGAATACCATTATTATTCTCACTTTAGGTTTGAGGAAACCAAGGCTCAGAAGGAGTAAGGAGTCTCCCAGCTGACAGATTACAGAAGTCAGGAGCCCACATCCACCTCACACGGCTCCTGGCTCTGGTGCTATCTCCACACTCCCAGGAGGGAAGCCCACAGAGGGCAACGCAATCAGTGATCCTGAAATGGATCCTGTACTGGAAGAAAAAATACTACAAAATTGGAACAAAGATGGTAGTTTAAAAGATAACAATTTCCTAAACTCAATAACTCTATTATGCCTACACAACAGAATACCCATGCTTTTAAGAAATAGTTAAGAAGAGGCACGACCTATACAACCTACTCTCAAACACCTCAGGGAAAAAAGAACATACACACAGAGAATGAGACCAAATAATTAAATGTGGCAAAGAGTAAAGTGAAGAACCTGCATGAAAAGTAAAATTTCTTAAAGGAAAAAGGACACCTGACACCTGAACAGCAGGACTTGCAGGTCAGAAGTAGAGTGGGAGGGTGTGGGGTGTAGGCCATTGCAGCAGAGAAAGGCTGGAGTACAATGGAGCTTCTCTCTGGAAGGTTACCACACACCGTATACCACAGGCAGGTTAGCCAGGGAAAGGCCTGAGAAGGGGCCAAGGATGTGGCAATGGGAAAGTCCCCATGGCCTTCATCTAGGAGCAGATTCTGGAACCTGGAAGGAGCCAGAGTACAGAGTGGGAAAGGCATGTGGCAGGTGAAGGTGCTGAGGCAGCAAATGTAGAGGCCTGTGGGGACAGCTGCAGCAGACAGACCGGAAATGACAGCGGGCCCAGGGCAGCAGGCAGAGGGACACCTGAATCTGAGAACGACCAGGGGACAGGACCCGGAAGGACCAGATGGAGGAAGGTCAGCAGGTAAGGTCAGACCCAAGTGCCCAGGGGCATTGTGGGGAGAGGAGATGGTATCTGAAAATTAAGGAGCTGGCTACTTCTCGGGCCCCCTTGGCTTGAGGCCGGCGCCTGACCTCACCTTGTGATAAACCTCTGGTGGCGAAGTGACTAAGGTGGGACAGAAAGAGGTGACTCCGTGCGACAGGATCCTCTGGGCTACCAGGGCTACTCCCGAACCCACATCCTCTGTGGCCTGAGAGAAGTCAACGCCAAATCCACCTGTGGCCACAGAAAAGAGGAGGTCGCACGGTGCTCAGAGCTCCGCCCCTGGGTCTCCACACCCAGGCCCTGACCCGCACCGTTGATCTGCACGTCAATGAAGCCGGGCGCCAGGATGCAGCCCCCGCAGTCCCGCTGCTGGTCGGCTACGAGCCGCTCCTCAAAGAAGAGCTTCTCTGGGTCCAGAATGCGGCCGTCGCGCACCCACAGATCCTCCCTGCGGACAGAGAGGGGTGGGGCTCGTGTCGCCGACCCAGCACCCTGCACCCAACCCGCGTCCACCAAGGCCAGGCCAGCGCCCGCCGGCTCCACTCCCGCAGCGCCAGGCGCCGCACCCGCCGGCCCCACGCCCCACCTGAGCAGCCTTCGGCCCCGCAGGATGCGGCAGTTGGTGAACCGGAGCACCGGGGCCCGCGAAGCGCCCTTTCCGTCGCGCATCTTGAGCCAAATGAGCCGAGCTCAGCTGGGGGCGCCGGAGCGGGGCCCCACCCACATGACCCTCAGCTGACTACAGCGCACGCCACGTGACCAGCGTGCCCACGTGACCGCGCACCCTACGGCGCTCTGACGCCGCGGCTCAGCAGCCCGCCCCTTCCCCGGGCCCACACAAGCACACACACAGATGTCCAGTCACATCCGAGAATTTTATTGGACACGGCTCTGGGCCTCGCAGGCCCAGCTCATGGCCCCGCAGCTAGGGCTGGAGGACAGTGGTTCCATACAAAAGGTCTCAGGGCACACGGTAACCCCACAAAGCGACACTCTAAAGATTATTATAGTTGGGAGACTGTAGGGCTGCTCCACAGACGTGCGAACAGGTCAAATCTTTATAAATAAACATCCAGTGAAAACGACAACTCCAATTCATCCCTATACACAGAGCACTCTAGGGCAGGTAAGTGGGTGGGGGTGGCTAGAAGCCACCATCCTCACTGGTCAGGGGACCTGGATGGGTGATGATGAGTGGGCCCAGATGTCCACGGCACGGGGCGGGTGGGGGCAACAGACAATGGGCACTAGGACACTGCGCATTTACAAGACCAACTACTTGGGGGTAGAGGGGGGCAGCTGCCCCGTGCATGTGTATCAGGCTGTTCATTCTGGAATGAGGAGGGGGTGGTCTTTACATCATATCCTGTGGCTGGTGGGCTTTGAGAGGAGCTACTTTGTGGAGAGGATGAGGGCGACGATGAGACCGTAGAGACCCAGCACCTCTGCGAAAATGAGGATCAAGATCATGCCCACGAATAGTCGGGGCTGCTGGGCAGTGCCCCGCACACCGGCGTCACCCACAATGCCAATGGCAAAGCCAGCTGCCAGCCCACTGAGGCCCACACTCAGACCAGCGCCCAGTTGGAGGAAACTCCTGGGGGAGAGAGGACACAGGATAGACATTAGCTGCCTGTTGGGGAAGACAGGCACAGGCCACTAGCCCACTCCCCAGCCCTCCAGCCCTATGCAGTGGCCTGAACCGGGGCAGGCCGGGTGTGGTGGGAGGAACCCAGCACTCACCTGTACAGACTGATGCCTTCATTCAGGGAGTTGGCGATAAGGACTGCCACCACCAGGCCATAGATGGCAATAATGCCAGCCATGACCACTGGGATAATGGACTTCATGATCAGCTCTGGTCGCATGACAGACATGGCCGCGATGCCAGTGCCACTCTTGGCGGTACCATAGGCAGCACCCAAGGCTGTTGGGAGGAGGCAAAGTGAGCCCAGGCATCTGGAGCCAGAACCTCGGTGGTAGCTCTGACACAGCTGAGGGCCACCCCATTATCACAGGGAACAATGAAGGTGGCACCCAGCCAGGGGCAGGAGGTGACCCTCAGGGGTAATGGTCACAGCCAAGCACTCAAGAAACACAGGTAACTGTTCCTTTCTTCTGCCAGAGGTCCTTATGGCTGGGTGGCTTATCTAGGCTCCTGCTCTGCTGGGAAACCCCCACCTGTGCTCAGCACTCCCCAATCCTGCTGTACAGCTCCCATGCTCCCAAGGAGTACAGCTCAGCTGCCCCGACCTAAAAAGTGGAGCTGTAACAGGCTGGCAGCGTCACACAAGGAAATAGGAGCTGGGCCCCTGATGTCTTGCTGGAGATTCTGGACACATTTTGTCCCACCTAGAGTCCCAGGCACTCAGGTCACAAAGGGCCTGGAAAAGCATGAAAAGACTGCATATTGGCAGCCCAGATGTTAGGCCAGGGTCAGTCTGTTGGCCCTAGGGCTATGCCCAGGGCCAACATGCTGGAAGAGCCCCAGGACACACAGGGTCTATCCACTGGTCAGGGAAAGCAACCTGGTAAGTCCTGTCCTCTCAGGCCAGAATTTCCTGGATTCCCCACCCTGCCCACTAAACTCCCTACCACCCTGCCCTGGGACACAATGCTAGGAGAGGTGGCCTCTGTGCTGATGGGATGAGCACACCCTCAACCATACAGCAGGCCTAGACCCTTAAGTTTGGGGAGGATCCTCTCTCAATAACCAGAGGAGCAAGGGCAAGCCAAGGAGAAGACAGGGCACAGGAAGACAGGGGGGCCTGGAGCCATCACCCAGCCCAACCTTGAGGCCTCGGCAGAACTCGCCGAAGCCTAGCCTCTGCCCAAGGCCTCCAGTAATGGGGGTGGGGCTCTAGGAAGGCCTGCCTCCTCTTCCGCTGCCCTCATCTCTCCCCCTAGAGTATGCTGCCTTCCTGAAAGTTCCCCTCTTCTGGCATGGAAGTCTAGAGTAACTTTTGCCCAGAATAGAGCCACAGCGGGTCAAGGCAGCTCTTCTGACTCAGTCACCTGCTCTCCAGGGTTCCACTGCACTTCTTGAGCAGAGGACAACATGGGTTGGAGATGGAAGGGACCAAGACAATCCTCGCCATTCCTCTGCACATTCTGTTCACCTATGTGGGCCACAAGGTACCTACTCTGCTCATTACTGAGCAGGGGAGAACTCAGAGGGTCGCTGCCTTCCTAGGGCTCTAAGCTTGGGGAGGAGACAGATATAGCACTTCCACCCACAATGCCATGTTCCAGGAGAGTGGGGAGGAGGATAGTGATGGGTCTGGGAAAGGGCTTCGTAGAGGTAACATCTGAGTGGAGGGGTGATGATGAGCAGGAAGATTCCAAACAGCCTGAATGGAGATGCTAACTAAGATAGTGCTGGATGGGGACCTACTGGAGGGAGGACGCAAGGGTGAGGCAAAGGGACTTGAATTGCCTCCTCCCCATGGTCCCGGAGGCACCTTAACACTGCCTTGCCTAAACATTCAGCAGCTTCAGCCTGGGGCCCAGGGCCTCTGTCTTCATGAAGCCTTTGCTGGAATTCTCCTGGTTGCAGTGCATCCTTTGGGCTCCTAATGGAGGCCAGCATGTCAGGCTGTCACGTATGTGCAAGGGGCCAGTGCCATGGCTCAAGGGTGAAAGCACAGGCGGCCACATGGCACTTAGTGGGAGATGGTTTCAGGGAACTCAGCATCACAGGCATTGGAATACTGCGAGAGGCAGGAAGTGAGCTGGGCCCGTCTCTCAGAGGGCAGCAGGGAGATCATGTAGCTGGGGCTGGGAAGGCCACAAGAACAAAGGGAAGAAACAGGAATGACCATCAGAAGAGAAAAGCAGTCTGGCTGGGGAGCAGCAGGTGGCTGAAAAAACCCCGGATGGCTCTGAAGGCCAAGCCTGATGGGGCTCCAGATCCAATGGGAGACTGCGATCAGATGGCCGTTCCAAGAACACAGCACCAAACACAGGTGTCTACCAGCAGGGAGGAAGTCACAAAAATTATGGAAAAGGAACAACTGACAGCTTCGTGGAAGACATGATGAAGAATCGACTGGATTTTTTTTGGTCACACGTTAAAAAAAAAAGAGGAAGCTGAAGTGGGAGATGGAGATTGGGGAGGCCTGAGAGTGAGCGGGCCTCATTCAGTTGTAAGAAGACCAATTAGCAAAGCACTAGGCAGGCCAGGGAATATCTAGGCCAGGAGCTGGGGACAGAGCTTGGAGTCGGCCAGGCAGCGACACCTGAGGCCTGAGCACTGAGGGGTTTGTTCTCATAGGCACAAGGAGGCAGATGAAGACAAACCTTGGAGAAGGACATATTTAAAGGAGAAATGAAATAAGAAGTCATCCACAATTAGCCCCATGTAGTGAAAGGAGGAGTGAAGCTGCATGCAGAACAATAGGAATGAATGGCCTCAATACCCAGGAGCTTGGGACAAGCAAAAAAAGCCCTGGATCAGATCAGTGCTATCCTGTTCTCAGTAACTTTCGGAGCTCTGCTGGTCAGGCTCCATTGGAAGTACCAAGTAAGCCCTGGACGGTTTGGCTCAGTGGATAGAGCGTCGGCCTGCGGACTGAAGGGTCCTAGGTTCAATTCTGGTCAAGGGCACATGCCCAGGTTGTGGGTTCGTTCCCCAGTAGGGGGCGGGCAGGAGGCAGCCGATCAATGATTCTCTCATCATTGATGTTTCTCTCTCTCCCTCTCCTTCTCTGAAATCAATAAAATACATTTTTTTAAAAAGCAAGTACAAAATAAGTTCTAGAAGGAAAAGAGAGGCACCTGGTAATCAGAGGGAGACCAGGAGCAGGATACAGATAAAGGGCTTAACAGGCAAACTCAGCTTCAGGAGCAAACAGTGACAGTCAGAATTCCAGGTGGGCAGGCATTGTGTTTTATTCACTTATGTCTCCAAGTGGCTGGCACATAGTAGGAGCTCAATCAAGACTTGTTGAATAAATGACAGCCACCAGTCGCACCCCAAGGAGACCAGGTAAGGCAGAATCTCTGGAGGCCAAGCACAGAAAAGCCTTTGTAAGCAGGCCCGGCAGCCTGCTGGGAGGTTCTGGGAAGCAGTCAGCCCCTGAAGATGTGGAAAGAGCAGGCACTGGCTAGAAGGGAAGGGGAAGTCAGACTTCTCCCACCACAAATGACCTCTTACTGGCACATGATAGAAAGGACAGGGCTCACTCAGCAGCTCGTGACTGGCAGGCAGGCTCAGGGAAAGGGAGGCCTCCCAGAGAGCAGAGCCCCCCAAGTCCCCACCTCACAAGTGTTTACAGTCAGCAGAGACTGTTTGGAGTTCAAACCCTCCACATACCTGCATCAGGAGCCTACCAATTCATCAGGTAGGGTGGGGCAGGGCGTGGTCATCAAAGCCAAAAACCAGACCCAGACCAGGCCAGACCAGTCCACGGGGGCTGCATCTGGGCCAGGACTCAGCTCCCTGGGTGGCACATTCCTGAGCCTGCCCCCAAGGATCTTTCTCCCAGGCCAATTTTCACTAAATTCAACACCCCAGGACTGTCAAGACCCAACTTCAAAAGCAGGGTGCCAGAGAGAATGCTGGGAGGCCCCTTTCTCCATGCCTAGGGCAGCCCTTTCCAATACCAGGCCTTGCGGAAAGGAAGGTAGGTCATTCACTCATTCATTCATTCATTCTCATTCATTGGGGTCTGAACTAGAACACTCTCCTGGGGACGGAGACCCAGTCCCCTCAATGCTGAGATTCTCTGTGCGACCCACTCCCAGGCAAGCGTCCACACATCCCAGCGCTGATGCTGGCCCGACTCCCATTGTCCTCGGCTGTCTCAGT